GCCACCAAAAGCCAAAAGTCGCCAAAAGCCAAACGCCACCAAAAGCCTAACTAACAGAAAGCTATCAAACCACTAACGGTGAAAAAGTTCCCAAAAAGGACACGAGACAAATTCCTAAAAATCGATGAGTTCCTCCAATAAGTTATCTGTTTCGTTATCGGCGTAGTGCCCACACAGAATCCGGATTTTTCAAGAAATTGCTGCAGATTAGAAAAAACAGCAACAAACATATTGGTTCCATATCATATGGCTGAAGCCGCCCATTAGGGTACTGTCATGTCAGTGGGGCCTTAATTCGACATGCAACAGGTACTGCAAGGATCTGTCAGGAATGATAATATACCATCATACAGTGGTTATCGGGTCTGGGGGGGACCTTATCGGTTTCAAATACATCCTCACCCTAAGCCATTCACATCGACCTCTCCTGACTAAAGTAGTCTACACACTTTTTCTGACCCCACCTCAAACGTAAATTACACTTTTGAGCGTCAGGTGGATGCCTGGGCCCTGACCTTAGAATTGTAAGTTACAATTTCAATCCGTGGGTTTGGTTCTGTTTGTTTGTTTGTTTGTTCGCTCGTTCGTTGCTTTGTTTTGTTGCTGTTTTTGGATGGCCGCGTCCTTGAGGGACGCCTGCAGCGGTCAACATTTCTTGGAGAAGTTTCACACGTGGGGAAGAGGGGGAATCAATGGTTTCTGGGTCAAAACTTCTAGGGGAAGCTTCACGTGTGGGGAAGGGGGCGTCTGGGCGAAGCTTCACGGGTGATCTGATTGTGATAATCCGCCGACCCCACCGGTGGGGGAGCGCATCAGAGAACTCTGCAGGATTCCGGCTGCGTGGATCGCTGGGAGTAGGTGTCAATGAGCCAGTAGATCCGTGGGCGGGGGGGAGAACAGTATCGGTGCGCCGGAGCTGCAAGTATTCAGGCCACGCGCATGCTTTCAACATTTTGCCTCTCGTCGAGTTTTTACTGCCATCAGAAAGCAACGTTGGGCAGCGAGAGAGCAGCAAGATGATTTCGGGAAGAGAAGAGGAGAAGAGGATGTTTACTGCCGTCAGAAGCGGAGTCGAAGAGAAAACACGGCTTCTGGAAGAGGACTAGAAAAGAATTTTTTGCCGTCAGAAAGCAACGTTTGGCGCTGAGAGAGCATCTCCGAAGACGAATTTTGGGTCGTTTTTAGTGTGGAATTAGATTGTGGAAAGCGTGGCGAAGCAGATCGCTCGGAGCAGGTGTCTACCAGCCAGAAGACGCGTGGGAGGTGAGAGAACGGTTTCGGGAAGAGAAGAGGAGAAGAGGATTTTTACTGCCGTTCAGAAGCGGAGTCGAAGAGAAAGCGCGCCCGCGCCCAATCTTCCACCCTCCAGCCCCCGCAAGCCCAGGGCCGTGGATCCCGGAGGGTTCTCTCCTAAACCCTGCCGCCGACCCAGGGGGGGCCAGGGGGGGCTAGCTACGCCCCCGGCGCGTTTTGGGCTAGAATTAGATTGTGGAAACCGTCCTAGCTACGCCCCGACACAACATGGGCCCAAGATGGGGCCAACATGGGCCCAAGCCAACTTTGATGCCGAAAACATGGCTCCAACATAGATCAAAGATGGGTTAACATAGCCCCAACATGGGCCAACATAGGCCCAAGAAGGGGCCAACGTGGGTCCAAGATGGGCCAACATGGGGCCAAGATGGGCCAGCGCGGCGCCAAGCTGGGCCAACGTGGACCCAAGCTAGGCCAACATAACATGGGCTCAAGCTGAGCCAACGTGGGCCCAAGATGGCACCCTCCTCAGCCTGCACCCGCGCCCACTCTTCCACCCTCCAGCCCTCAACGCCCCTGGCCGGCTGTCGGGCGTAAGCCCTTAAATCCAGTCAGGGGCGTATGCCCCGTCAGGGCCGTGTCCTGCGTAATGCATTCTCCTTCTGTGAAGCAGAAATCCGCCCCCAGGTGCGGGACCCAGAAAACTCAGGGTTTTTGACGTGTTTTTTTCCGCGCTTGTTGCTCACGATTGGTCAACATAGCCCAACATAGGCCCAAATAATGCTGGAAATGCGCGCCGCACCGGGGTGCTTCGTCTGCATCGTGGGCGGATGCTGAGCTAACATGGGCCCAAGCTAGGCCAACATGGGCTCAAGCTGAGCCAACATAGGCCCAAGATGGCCCAAGCTATGCTCAACATAGCCCCAGGACCGCGCAACAAAGGCTCCAGATGGCTTAAGCTACACCCAAGCTGCCACCAAAAGCCCGCCCAACATCCACTCCCTCAGCCTGCGCCCCCAATCTTCCACCCTCCAGCCCCTACCTCAACGCCCCTGGCCGGCTGTCGGGCGGAAGCCCTTAAATTACTGTATTATACTGTATTGGTTTCTGGGCGCGCTATGGCACGCACTGTGCAGCATTTATCATTGTGTGTGCTGGCCTCAACATTTCTTGGGAGAGGTTTAAGAGATTTACGCCAGACATGTCGCTCAAACAAACAGAACCTGATCCGAAGTCGCGAAAGCAAAGCAAGTCGAAGGGACAGTTTATACATTGTTCTATTCAGGCCATCACAAATTTTAAGTTACAAATTTGACCACCCCCCGCGGGGTCGGGCACTCTAAGGGTGTTGTGATCTTATAAGTGTAAAACATTGTAAAACTGTCGAACAATTAAGTACGTAGAACTTATAACGGAACATACATTTCTAAATAGTCTACAGCTGTAAGATTGCCGTTCTTTTGGCCCACGATACTTTTTTTGGCGCAGTCAAGTTGGAACCTTTGCCCGTCTTTGCCAGTGGTCTGTTGCAGCAAGCATTTCCGTTCAATCGATCACACCTGCCCCGTTGTGACCACCTTCCTCCATGAAGGTTCAGCCAAAGGCGATGAAGTCTACAAATGCTATGAAGGCCATAAAATCTGCAATATCAGCAAAGGCAGACCAAAAGGAGCTGAACGACAAGATTGACATGTTCCTCAAGGAAGCTGCAGCTGTGCAAGCATCCTCTTCAGGAGACGTTGATTTGCAGAAGCTCCCATGGAAGAAGTACTTCACTGCCAACCAAATGTCTGCGCTTTGGAACCGCTTGCGCAGCAATATCCAGACTACAGGTTTAGTTTCGGCCAAGAATGCCTGGGGCTGACTCAGGAAAGGTTTGAAGAAACGCAGTGTTTTGTGGCTGCAAACAGGTGTGAAGTCTGAGACCAATACAAATCAAGAGACTCCACTGAACCAAACTCATGGGGGGACGGAGGCCACAGAGTTGATCAACAAAAAATTCTTTGAGCAGGTCATGGTGAAGGGCGCGCCACTAGTCGACTTCACCATGCCAAGCAGGTGGGCATCACCGAGCAGAACGAGGAATCCTTGAATCCTTGGCTCTCCAAAGGTCACTGGCTTTGGATGAAATCAAGAGCTTGGAAGAAAAGTTGACAGTACAAGGTTAAAGGTTAGCATTGCTTTGGCGTGGACTTCCAGCTGGGGCTGGACAAAAGCAAGTGGCATTGGGGGCTCTGGTGAAAAGAAAGGCTTGAATTCCAAAAAGCTGTTTAGTTTTTTGTTGAGAATATTTTCCTTCGAGTTTCATGTGTAATCAGAGCTTGATTCTTCTTTCAGGCTGTGGCCACCCCACCCTAACCTGCCCCTCGATTCTATCCCCGTGCTGGTGTTGGAACAACGAGGGTCAAGAGTGGATGTAGAGGCTTGATCGGAAATGGCACAGCGCATGAGCCGTTCTCAAAGAGCAACCGCGTACAACTTGTTGGGTAAACGGGGGGGGGTTAGCCCCGAACGCAACACACCGAGGGTGAAAAGCCCTGTGTTTTGCAGGGCTTCGTGGCTTTCCGGACACTCAACTTATCGTCTTGCAACTCATGAGTTGCAAGACGATAAGTTGAATGCGTCTTGACGGACCCAACTCACCCGCCTGCTCCATGTACAGCTTGGCAAGGCTCATTTTTGCCGCCGGACATAAGTCTTGTTCCCAATTGAGCCGTTTCAGCTCACTGCACATTTGAGCCTCTCTATGTATTCTGACAGCCTCGAGCATTGAGTCCAACCCTGGATGTTGGCGGAACCACAACGCTGCGAGGCCTTCAACGTGCTGTCGTTGCAGCTTTGCATCGCAACGGCCAAGAAAACCCATACGCAGTGTTAAAACACACCTCGAACGTCGAGCCCGTCATGTCCTCTAAGCCAAGAAAAGCGGTCACCGAGCGAACGAAAGGTCACCGAGTCGACAAGTCAACGTCAAAGTCGATGTACGCGATTGGTAACACGGACGAAACTGACCCCAACCCCCCCCACCCCCCCCACCCTGAAAGACTAGTCAACGGATCGGATATATGTGGCCGGCGGGGCTAACCGTTAGCACAACTTGTTGTATGACCAGTGCCCATCCTTTCATTCTTCATTCGAGAATGTTCCACTGAATTGCTGCTCTTGTCAAAAGCGTCTAGTAGCGGTCCGCTCCTCAAAGCCAGCAGCTTTCAAAAACTGCACCTGCATCATTGTGTCCCGAGGGTCTGTTGCCTTATGGAAAAATATAAGAAAAGTGCACTCGGGTTGGTGAACAAACACTTGGGGCAATGCAAGCAATATCCGGTTGGTCTTTTGCAATGTACGCGTAGCACTCCTAACAGGCCAAGAACTGAAAGAGAACATACCGCACCACTCGCACAAACAAATGGTTAAACTTAAAAACACTCGACGCTCAATCTTGTTTGGGCTGCGATACGTCCTCAGAATGTCAAGCGATGAGATGGACAACTTCAGAATATCAATGCGCTCCAAGCCAAGACGTTCAACTTCATAATCAATGCTGGTTGCCAAATGGTCCACATCATCATTTGGGTCTTTTCCCTGTGCAGAAAGAGAGGCATCACTGGACGCTGTGGCTGGCAAACAATGTGCAACGCATACCACAGATTCAGACCAGGCACTTCGGTGAAACTGCAACGTCGATCATTTGACAAATGTACATTTTCTTCCTCATTTAGAGCGCGATGTCCATACCGAAACGTTTGTCTAAAAATAACCTGCAAAACAATTTCAATGCCTAGCAACTAGATTGTCTTCGTGGCTAAAGTCATCAGGAGCACGACACTTCCACCGGGATGATGTTGAGCTGGTGATCCGGCGCTGAAGCACGTGAACCTTTCTTTTCGGAAAATACCAGGCGACGGTATCTGAAGACACAAAGACATTCTCGCCTGTCCCTCAAAGCCGTTAAGTTTCACAGAGCGTCGCCCGGCCGCTGCTGCAAGGTCATCAGCCTCTTCAAGTAACAGGGCGGCGCAATTGAATCGGACCCCAAAATGAGTACGGTATAGTAAAACTTTTTTGGCGGTGTAAATTTCAGGTAAGAGATTGCCGACAGAGCTTATTAAAGAAGAAAAATGTTGAAGTTGTAACAGCGATCCACAGACTACACAAACCTCTTTCCAAATGTCTGGAAAGGGTTCTGATATCGGGCGCAACTTGGTACTATAAAATCATATGAGAAACGGTTTTCTGGCTCTCCGACAATGCACCTGTGTTCCTGATAGCTTCTCAATGAGTTGCGCATGCTCTCTCAAACGCTCCTTGTTAGTATTGGAACCGCCCCTGATTTCGCAACGCATCTTGCCAAGTCTTATAGGGTTAAAGAGTATTCAAAAATGCATATGTATGCCACACGCCGGACAAAATCTGGTATCTAGCCTAAGGACATTGCCCCACTTGTTACCTCCAGCAATTTCAAGCTTTGGTGCTGGCATCAAGCTTGCCATGGCTTGGCACGCCAACAGCGAGGGCGCGAATCAAATGCAGTTGTGGTTGCACAAGTTGTGGGGGAATTGCTCTTCCATGGACACAAAAATGTTCAAAGCGGGCGTCGGTTGCCATCGGTAAGGCGCTGCGGTGGGAAAGCTATTCAGTGGTTAAAATTTGTATTGCAACACGTCTTATATACTGATGCAAGCAACTCAAACTGAGAAGAACAACATACCGCGTCGCGTGTTTGTATCGAGAGGGCATCGGTAGACAGGTCGGCCCTCATCGGTTATGCAGGTTTGATGCAGGTTTCCAATATCCCAAGACCACGCTGTGACCACTTTAGAGTGGGCAAGATTTTGTACAACCCATAGAAAAACTAACCAGTGCTATTAATATGCGCTACTGGCGCTACTACAAGTATCTGAATTCCACGGGTTTCGTGCTGAAGACCGCCTGCTCCAGTGATTTGAGTGGACCAAGAGAGACAACGTGACGACCCCGCAGGGCTGGGACTGCAGGCCTAATGTACATATACTGTGTGAACGCATATTCGAGGCTTTACTTAAATAGCGGTTCGAAATGCATCATGTCTGGTTTTTTGCATTTCACGCGTTTTTGCAATATTACTCTTCGGAGAATTCGCGCGACAAGAACGCGTGATTTTTTCGCGCGCGGCTTTGTTGTCTTGAGCGCAGTGGAATTTCGAATACACTGTCCTATTTTTCTGAGGGTTCGTCGCACATCTTTCGTGTGTAATTATATCAAGGGGGTTTCAGGGGTGCAAAACGCATTCGTTTGTGCGTGTCTTGTTGCGCGTGCACGTGTATCTCAAGGATGTTTCTAGGGGGCAAGATGCTTGCGTTTGTGTTTTCTTGCGGACACATGTGCATCTCAACGGAGGCTTCAGGGGGGTGGGCAAGATGCTTGCTTTCATGTCGCTTAGCACGTGTGTATCTCAAGGAAGTTTTGCCGGGTGGGCCATGGGACCAAGGGCGCTGAGGAACAGAAGATGTGACCAATCTCTGCGTTTTGGGACTGAGTATAACTTAATGGCCATCCCTGACGGACCAGCGCAGCTTACAGCCGATGCGTGAACGCACAATGTACAGGACCTCCAAAGGGAACCTACTGAAGATTCACTTCAGCCCATCATGCCACCATTACAACAAAAAGGAGGCCACTGACTTGTGTGCCTGCCATTTGTATGAGTGGAGGAGGAGTGACAGAAGTTAGGGATCAGTCATAGCGCGCGGCCCCTCACACAGATGACACGCACAAATCGAGCCTGTACACGCAACCTTTAGGCCCAAGTTCTTTTTGTGAAAAGGAGCGCTTTACGCTATTTATATATATATATAATCGTAGTCCTAGGTATATATCCCGCCGGGCTTGCTGAAGACACAGAGCTTTTGGTTGTCGAATTGCATCATTTCGTTGCTGCCGAAGGTCTTTTTTGCCTGTTCTTCGCCACCTTGAAGGCCTCCTTGATGAAGACCCAAATCTTCTCAAGCATATTCTTCAGCATGAAGTGCCGCAGCCAGTGGATCACGCTCAAAGCCAGTAGGCAAAATGCCGACCAATGCCATTCATCTCCTTCCAACAGCAGCAGTCCCACATGTATCTCCTTCTTCTTTTTTATGACCTTCTTCAGTCCTCTCTTCATCTTTTCTCGATGCTCCAATTCTTGATATTCTTCTTCTCCCACTCGATCACCGATGCTGTGACCATCTTCAGCATGAACAGCAAGCCGAACAATCTTCTCCTCGTCCATGACTTTGTCCCTATGTCGGCGCAGTTCAGCTCTGATGGGGTTCACACTCAGGATCTTGTCTTTCTCTTTCTGTTGGATCCACAAGAGCGAAGCGTCGAGATGTCTCACCCTTCCAATGCCTTGTCTCTGAACCATGGCGCGGGCCGCTGAGTTATCAGACCGCGCCCCCAAGTCGATCTCCTCCTTGACCAACTGCATCCAAAGGTGCCTCACCAGTAGCCCGTCAGAGCAGCCTCCCACCATGGCGACGAACTCTGACTCCGTAGAGGATAGGGATACGCTCTTCTGGCTCCGAACACGGGATTCCATGAGGTTCCCGTCCAAGAACACTTGGAACGACTTGGCGCTCTTCCTGTCGTCTTTGTTTCCTGCGTAGTCTGCGTCCGTCACGATCTCCAAGAGGTGTTTCTGCTTGTCCTCAACCTCCTCGGCTTCTCGCAGATCCATGACAAACTGGCCCTTTGCTCTGAGTCTCGCTCCAAATCCTTCTGTGCCTTGAAGGTATGAGCAGACGTGGCGTGCTGTCTTCCAAGCCTGTTGTGTTGGTCTGGCCATGTGTCGCGCCAAACTCTGGATTGCAAATTGTGCATCTGGCCTTTCTCCTGACATGTGCACGAGACGTCCGACCACACTTCGAAACTTCGCGACGTCTGCTCCTTGCAGCTCTTCGGCGGTGTTTTTCTTCACGTTCTGCTCCAAGAGCGTCTTCCTGTAAAACTTCTTGAAGACGTCCACATCCTCTGCAACGCTCTCATACTGCTTGTAGTCACATCTGATGTCGCAACGATTACTCAGCAACTTGAACTCTCGCTTCAGGTAATGAAATCTCTCGCCCACTTCTCCTGGAGGAACTTCACAAGTCCTTCAAAGCAGTCTCCTTTCCCACCAATGTAAATCTCTGACAGTGTGGGCCGCGTCACGTCTTGGGCGAGTTCGAAATCTTCGCAAGTCTTGGCAAGCAGGCTGAACTGAACCTCGTGAAGCTGCAGTTCTCTGACCCGCTAGGCCTCGTACCAGCCTGTTGGTTTTTGTCCGTCCACTCCACAAAGGCGTTCTCTTCCTTGGGTTGCTCTGCCATCAAAGAGGCGTCCTTGATGTCCAAGGTCATGGCCACAGCTGTTGAAGACATTGAGCAGCAAGTGGGTGCGTAGTTTTGGAACCACAAGCATAGATGTTGGAGCGAAAATTTGTTCGAGGTCTATGCTGCTCTGGAAATGTCGCGCCACAAGCCTGCCACGTCTGAACCATCCTCCATGTTCAACTCGATGCTTCCAGCAAACCACGAACTTTGTTGAGATGATGTAGCCATTGCTACTCCTCACATCTTCTTCAGTGGATTCCTCCATCGCAGGTATCTTCTTCATCCTCTTCATTCTGCTTTGCTTCTCTGTCCATCACTGGGAGGTGTTCATCACTTACATAGGAGGGTCATCGGCCTCATCATTGGCGTAGATCAGCTCATCTGTGAGGTCTGCAGGAATCAACTCCTCATCCATCTCGTCATCGCCATGTACTTCTATTGCTTGTGCTCCCGCATGCTGTGACGGGTACAGCCTTGGAATCTTGCTCGGTGATGATGCTAGTTACAACATGCTCTCTTCCTGCTTCTGGCTCCCGTTCTCGCACAATTCCACAATTCCTGAGGGCAGACTTGTTTCACCTTCTACTTCAATCTTCTGCTTCTGCTCATTCTCCTCCCCTGGGAGCCCTCGCCTTGGTGATTGATGTCTCTGTGTCAAGCCTCTTCGATTCTGGCTCCTCTAGCTCACCTCCTGGTAGTGATTTTAGGGGTGATTGGTGCTCTTGATCCTGGTGCAGGTGTGCCCACTCCTGCAGCCACTGCATCAGTGACAGCTTGCAGCTCCTCTTCTGCCGCCTCTGTTTCCAAGGTCGGCTGCCTGTACCTTTGAGCCTGTCCTCCATGTCTGATCGTGATTCCTTGGGCGAGTAACTCCATGGCAAACCCTTTGCAATGACCATGTCGGTTGCCACAAAGCTCTCCTCCATTGCCAGTCTTCTGATTGTCCTGGCTTCGAAAGCTTCTTCTGCATCGTTCCATTGATTCTTTCCAACCCAAATGCCTCGGTGGAAGGTGTTGCTGCCTTTGTACTGTACCAGTTTCTTGAACACGACGGTCTCGCCAAATAGTGCCAGCTTCCCTTTGTAGTTGTGTCCTGTTGCCAGTTCATAGCTTGTCCTCCCAACCTTCTCCAAGACTCGGAAGCGGTTGACACATGTGGAAGTTGCCGGCGATCTGAATGAAGGCTTTGCTTTCTGCAAATGATCGTAGGCAGTTGGCCAGCTTGCGAATGGTCTGGACTCCTCGTTCAGCTTGTCCATTCGATTCATGTTGACCGCTGCCAGTCAGCCTGATCTCACATGCAAGTCCCATCACTGCTCTCACTTGTTGCACTGACCTCAAAATCTGTCTCATAGCCCGTTCTGAGTCTCCTTGGAATATACAGGGATCTCGAGCCGAATTCTCCAGGGAAAATCTGATGACCTCTTGCGCGACTGTTTTCAAACTGGCTGTCAGTGTTCCCTTCGATGGAACTGGTACAACGTGTATTGCCTGTGTTTCTGATGGAGGTCATGATCAGGCGTGTACTAAACTGGTCTGACCTTTCTGCCACCTTGTCTGGAGGTCTCTCATCAAGTCGTTGTTCCTCTCCAGTATACGTGAAAAAGAAATCCAACTGAATCACGTTCTTCCCCCTGTCGACCTTGTCCCCTTTCCAGCAACACATGCCTGGCACCAGGGGGCATAGGGAATGTGCGTCGCGAAGCGCACCTCCTGGTCTTTCATGGGCGGCAGCTTGGGTTGACCCAACGTCATCGGCTTCCTCTGTTGCTCCTTGAACTCAGTACAAGCCTTGAACAGCTTGTTGGCAATGGACAGTTTCAGCTTATTCTCAATGTTCACCTTGAATGCCAAAAGTCTGTCCAAGAGCCTGCTCTTGCTGCCAGTGTGAAATATCTTGCTCTTTGTGCGCCAGGTGCAAATCCTTGACCGACATCTTATATCCGCGTAGATCACCTCATCCAGCTCGATCTCATCTGGCTTGTTGGTTGCGGTTCGATCCCCTTCACGAAGGAGAACTTCAAGTCGCTCCACAGCCTCAGCCCTTCTCTTGTCTCAGGCTTGAAGAGGTGAGGTGTTTTCATGTGCCTTGACCATGTTGTAGCTGGCTGATTCACGGTTAATCGTTCCAACGCCTGTGAAATCATTCTCAAGCTCTCTTCTGCCATTGGTCTGAGGTAAGGGACGGTCCTAAAGTAGCAGGCTGGTAGTACACGATCTCCTGGCTGTGGTGGTCTCCAGCTGCTCCTGCGACGCAAGCCAGGATCAAAGCTCCACCGGCCAGAGCCCAGCAGATCCACTCGCCCTGGATGGCAGTCGAGGTCAGGTCGTGGTGCAAGGTGTCGTGGGTAGGGAGGGCCGGCGCTTTACGGCCAGCGCTCCGCTACCATGAAAAGCGTGTAGCGCTCCTTTTCACAAAAGGAAATTGGGCCTAAAGGTTGCGTGTACAGTCCCGATTTGTGCGTGACATCTGTGCGAGTGGCCGTGTGCCATGACTGATCCCTAACTTCTCTTATATGTAGTATGTATGTATATTTGTATGTATGTAGGTATGTATCCGACATAATTTGACATATTGCAGCCACTGGACACGATGTCATCTTCCTGTGAAAAGTGTGCCATTGGCACTGTGCTTATTACTGCAAGTATGCCCGCAGGTCCATCAAACTTGACTCTGACTTTTGTTCAAGGCCATGTCTTGCTTTCGCCCTGCTCTGATCCTGATTCAGCTCCATCATAGGAAAATAACTGACAAAATCTGCAACGCTGCTCCACCTCCAAGCAAGCTGCTGAAATTCGACCTTGTAAGCGATGACCAGCCCATACTAAGCAATCAGGAAGCCAACACGCTACCTGACAAGTTCCAAACAAAAGTATATAACTATATATAGATATGTAATATACAATAAATAAATATATATAATATAAATAGATATATAAATATCAAGTGGCTCATCTACGGACACAGCACACATCAAACACAAAATGGAAACCACGAACCTGAGCGCAAACACGCACTCGAAAACAAACGGGCAAACATAGTTTGACACTCTTGTAGAGCACTCTTGTGGGACACTCTCGTAGGGCACTCTTGTGGGACACTCTTGTGGAAACTGTTCTGGGCACTCTCGCGCGACACTCGTGTGGAACGCTCGACTCTAGCGGACACTTTGGTAGGACACTCTTGCGGCTTGCGAGAGACGCTCTTAGACACCCTTGTGGGACAGTCTTGCGCAAAACTCTTGTGGGTCACTCTAGCGTAGGACACTCTTGTAGGATCTTGCGCGAGACACTCTTGTAGAACACTCTTGCCAGTGGAGCGCTCTTTTGGAACACTCTTGTGGAAACTCTTGCGGGGCACGCTTGTAGGACACCTTGTGGGGCGTCAATTGTCCGAAACGAGCGTATCGTACGAGACCTCAGTCCCCCCCAAATGTCGCATGTCATGAAAGTCTCCAAGCCGAGCGTTTCGTACCATGCTTCCTCCAAAAGTCAGACGTCAAGTCTCCAAAACAAGCTTTTTGCACGCGACCCCCTTCAAAAGTAACACGTCAAGTCTGCAAACCGAACGTTTCGTATGAGATCCTCCAAAAGTCATGCATCAAAGTCTCCAAAACTAGCGTTTCGTACGGTACTGGGAAGTCTCACCAGAGCAAATACCCTGCAGCCCTGCCAACCAGTTTCGCAATCTAGCCCCTTGCTCCTGCCACGAAAATCCAACTTTGACACCTCAACACAGCGCCTGCCAGGAAAGTGACGGTATGACATGTTCAGCCATGTTCGTGTCTTCCGCAAATTTTGCACCGCGCCACACGTTTGGAAGAATTTCGACTCGTGCTCCGCACACCCCCACCCACAAAAATCGCCACTTAGCGGAGACTTGTTACAAAAACACAGCTTCCAAGCAACAGCCTGAAACGCAAATCCCAATGTCACAGCCACATCCAACACCTCGACTACACCACCCTCTAGACGCCAATCCCAGTCTGACGGCGAAGAAAACTGATCTCACAAAAACACTGCACCAGCCCAGCAAATTTATCCTCCACACTTCATCCTCTTACGCTCCCACAAGTTTCCTCCCAATTTCACACGAATCTGACACATCATGCTCCATCAAAAACCCTCTCCAAAAGCTTCGCAGAATGTCAGCGCCATAGCGCCCTACCGCGGGCGGTTGCGAACACATGCGAATGGTTGCGGTGCCCCCAGACCCGCAGAGTTAAACGAGAACCCTTCGCTTCGCATTCGGGGAAACAGTATATAACGAAGAACAGTTGAGTACGAACACTCGCCTCAATTGCAATCAAACGAGCGTCCAGCGGACCTTGCGGCTCAGGGATGGTTGGAGTTGGCCATGGCAATGTGAACGGGTTGGTTGATGCGTATCATTCATTCATATTTCATCATATTTCATGGTTCATCTTTTTGTATCTTTCTATTCAAAGAATACATTACTTGATTTCATACAATCTCATTATGTTGCAATCAATCTGCTGTTCTGTATCCAGTGCTCCACCTCCGCGAAGAAGTCCGTCGTGCAATGAAATCGCCCAATGTCACGATCATGATCGCTGAGTGGTTCACGAAAAGGCAACACAATGCTTGGCACGGCCTTGGCTGTAGCTTTCATGAGTGGCAAGGAGCCTGCGGAAGAAATCCGGCGCCCTTTTGCAGAAATGCTAGCTTGTTGCGATTTGCGCGTGCCAGGCTGTAGAAGGTTAAGCGCGTAAGGTTAGCCGGGGCCGGTATTACGAGACATACACCACATACCCCTCAACGACTCAAGGTCCCCACCTCAAAATCAAAGTGTTGATCTTCAAATCGGGTCTGAGATCCTGTCCGCAAGTTCTTGATACATCATATAAATGAGTCTCAACTCAAACCCTGCTTACAAACTTCGATCCAAAAAGCGACCTCAGCCATTTGGACCTGGGACAACAACCTCAGGCACAACACCAAGGTCCACCAAGAACGATTGGCGCTATTAAAGACGCTCACACCCCCGGGCCCCAGTGTTTGGAAAGCTGAAGCTCTAGAGGCGCCTGTCTTCCATGCCTGAAGTTGTTTGGCCGCAGCGTGGCCGATTTTTTGAAGGTTGTCTAGGTAGTTTAAACTTGTCAGGCAAAGAGTTGTATTGTTACATATTCTTGAGCTGTTGTTTTTTGCGTGGCCTGTCCCGTCGTGTAACAGCTCTGTCATTAAGTCTGATCATGAAGGGATACACCATAGGAAACTTTGGGCTGGGTACCGCAACACCTCTGAAACGCAGATTCTGTTTGTCGTTCTCTGCGCAGGCTATGGACATTTGCCAAGCCGTGATTGTTGGAATCGGAACTTTCTCCAGAAGAGCAGGCATTGTCTTTCAGAAGAGTCTAGAGGATGAAAGCTATTTGTAACATGTTGGAACCATGAAATACAAGACAGTAATATTGAAACATCGTCGCGTCATGACTTTGTAGACAATCGCTCACATGTTCAGTCCAAGCGCCCGACGTCTGGCGAAGGTAAGAACCGCACCATGTGATGAGTAACCAAATCACGTCCCATTGCTTGCAGCCCTGCCAGATCAGACACTTCCAAATCAGAAAGCAGTTGTATCAAAGGCCAGTCTCGAAGACCCCTCACCATGTCTTCTATCTTCACTTTTGAGGTCCACATGTGCAGGAGCTGTGCTGCAGAGCGAGCAAGCGAATGCACTTCAGAGAATATCTGCGAAGATGAGAGTACATCGCCTGAACGCAATCGTATCTCTTGAGCTGATGCCAATAAAGCAACTGCTTGCCCCAAACCGTCAGAGGGAGCAGCAAGTTCAAGTATTGATGCAGACAGGGGCAACGGACGCCGAGATCGAATTGCCCTCCAAAGCTCTCTTTGCAAAGGTGACCAGTGGGGAAGCTCGGTGAAAACCTCCCAAATCACTGGCGACAAAGCAGAAGCTCTGCGGCGCCCCAGCTTCCGCCTGCCTGCAAGGCCTAACAGTCCAAACAATCCCAAGCGTGAGCGTAACGTCTGTAAGAGAGTCTCCTCACCTGCAGACAAAATCTCATGAACAACCTGCGCCAAGTTGGCCTCTCCAATAGGACTGTCATCAGCGAAGCTTGATGCATTCAGCAAACGCAGAGCCCAGCCCGTGGCTGGACACTGAGGAAGAACGATCCACTGAGAAGATTGGGTCTGTTGCGTCTGTACTTTTTGCAGCAACTCTTCTCTGTACTCTGGAAAGAACTTTGCTCTCCGTGTTGTAAGCCGACGAAGCTCATAACCTCACGCGTGCAATTAATGTATGGCAAATCACGAAAAACTCGAACTTCACCTGGCCTTCTGCGTTCTGTGCCCAATTCAGGCAAGCGCTGGGGACGCCCCCCGGCCAGCGAGATTGCAAGCTTTCGTTGGTCTCACCTGGAACCTGAGACACAGGGGACACCCTGGAGAACCCTTCACAGGGGTGCGCGCAGCGTGCCACAAAATATAAACAACCCAGTCATTCAATAATCGCTTCGGAGTTTGGCACCTTGACAAGGTGTCCACTCACTACAGCAAAGGAAGCGATCTGCAACGCAGACATGTATGGTCAGAATGTGCTGATGTTGTCCAAAAACATGCCTCCCTTCACATAGCTGTCCTACTTAAGGGCAGATTTCCACCTGGTTCTAACCAGAAAACAAAAACACATACAGCCACCGTTGGCCACCGCCCCAAGATCTTTTAAGCGTTTTGAGACTCATCGCGTGAATGCCATCCCGTCCATGTTTGGGCTCACAAAAGAGGATTGAACATGTCTTTACACCTAAGTCTCCCTCCATGTTTACAGTCATGATCGATTCTCAGACTCTCTGGGTCCAACTCTCCCCAACCTTGCAACTTTGCACCTTGAGGCTAAAGGCATGACGTGTGGACAGGCAGGGTCGGATTTGCTCAATGATTTGAGAACTTTGAAGACGCAAACCAAAATCTCAAAACGTTCAAGACCTGATACCATTGACGACACTCTTTCTCCTACGCGCAGCATTCAATCATGTCACGCAATCCCGATGTTGAGAACCCACATTGAAACCAAACGTCAGAAACAAACTAGGTCTTGTGGCCCTTAAAGGGAAATTCCCACGCACATTTTTTGTTTTTGCTGAAGTTTTTGCAAACACCTCGGCCTAGACCCGCAAAATGAAGTGGATGGAACTAGCAAGTCAGCTGCTTATGGAAAATCAAAACCTTGCAGCTACTCGCACAAACCTGCCCAGCACTCTGCAAACGTTGCCTGGCGATCTTTTAGAAGCCAGCTTCTCAGCGGGCGAGGCCAGTGTAAAAGCTCAGCTCCCCAACTTAAAAGCGTTGGCCATCCTGTTGCAAAGCTGCGCAAGTCAGTGCCTTCACCTTCATGCAATAATTCCCCAAGCAGTGTGGGCACACTGATGGGTTCTTACGGTAAGTGAAAAGCAGGTGTGCTTAGGCTTAGATCGCTGTTCCGCGCGGCCGTGTCCGGCCAATTCGCTGCTATTTACAGCACATTCATGCCTCTCGACATCATCAACGTGCATTTCGACTGCGCAGGCTGCCGCGGCGGGTGCTTCTAGCGACTGCGCTCTCGTTGTGGTGCCGTGCGCATTTTGGTACATGGTGGTCCCTTTTCGTGGCAGGCGCAAGGGAAACCTCGTGTTTTGGTTGGTGCTCCAAAGTCGAATTTTCGTGACAGGTGCAAGCAATCGGAACTGTTTTACTTCACAATGCAGTTTTCTTGGCAGG